GTTGTCACTTCTTATCAAGCCACAATGCCTGGAACGGTATGTATGCAGACTTCGATTGTGTACTCTGTATTGACCTTCTTCTCCCTCCCTTAAAGTAGGTCCAATCCCTGTCCACGTTAAACTTTACCCCTAGCCTTGTATGCATCGCGAGTTTGGCAGCGATCAGTGAAGTTCCCCTCACTGTATTTCGCTGTACGATGATAATGATCATGATGACAACTTAGGGTAATAAGGAGCAGATGGGTAAACCCCATATATATGAGGACCTGCTGTTCAATGGCAGACCGGTAGCCTAAGCCCCGGGAGTTTGCAAACCGCATAGGCGTGGTATTGAACCGGACGTCAGTACAGCTTCCTACCACCAGTTTTATGACGGTAACCATTAATATTATCCTCTGAGGGTTTAGGGTTGGATACACTATTCCCTAAAAAATGCGAACGATTAATTATTTTCGCCGGGTTCCTAAGTGAGTTTCAGCGGACGAAAATTTGGCTGTCACCTGCTACCGATGGGTCAAAGTGTGACATCCATCCAAAGCAATTAATGATCAGCGTATTTGTATTTATTGAAAGCATTGCATAAAATTTGGGCATTACTTAGGTTGTAAACAAATATCTCTTGATCTGACAGTTGTCCAATTTTGTACTAAATTTAGCTAATACTGGGTTCCAGTAATATGGACATATGAAGTTGACTTAACCGTTGAACTGTAGCTCTATGTCGAAGTCTTTCGCGAGTTGTATCGAAGGCCATCAAGTTGATCGTGATAGCCCGTGTGGTGATGGCACAGTACACAGCAACCCACTGCTGAGGTTTTTCATCCTCCCGTTTTTTCAGTTTACCCATGAAAATCTTGGAGCACAAGCAAATCTTGGCGTTTCCGCTAAATGGTGGAAGAGAATTCCTGTCAGCTAAACACTTGACACCTACTCTATAACAATCCGATACCATTGCAAAGCTTTTGCCTGCAACTACCGCTTCTTCACTTTCCTTCACAAAAGCGTTCGGTGACCTCACCAGGTTTATGTATTTGTTTTCACCCCCAGTTTTGCTACGAAATCTCTTCCGCTCCAATTTATTGCTCGCATTCCTCCAACATTTCGCGGTTCAGTTTCATTTCAGATTAGTCTGTCTAACGGTGTTGTCTTTCAGTGGAAAGACCAGGCCCAGACACTTCCACTCATCGTGTATGAACGATGTGCTTCTGAACTGTCTCCCAACCCTCATCGTCTCTTCTCACAACTCTAACGTTTTTCCCTTCACTGTAAAAACTCCTACATTTCAACAATGACTATCCGGCCGATTAGACATACCAGTTTTCAGTAGTGGTTGCAAAAACTGAAACTGAGACGCACTGGTGTTGTCTAAACGGTCGTGGAATCCGTAGTGGCGGACCAATGGCGATCGCACTTTGGATGGCGGGAACTGCCAACGGGTTTATTTTCCGTCGTTACGCTAGCGAATTTTTGAATTTCAGCCTCCTGATTAACCTCTTTGAATCATCGTCTAGAGGTGCTTCTGGTGTCCAAATCTGTTTATACGAATTCTGCAGTATCAGCTGGGGTGTTGTCGGTAATAGGCGGAATACGTGTGAATTCAAACACTCAATCTGCATCACGCCGTCTCTTAAGGAGCATTCCAACCAGTTTCCCTGTTGACTGGTAGAGAGAGAGAGAGTTTAAAGTCAATGCGCGGTGCTATCAGGCGGATCCTATGAATTAAATGCTGTTATTCGTTGCCTTGGTGAGAAATATGAGTAATTCATCGGTTCGTTGTGATCATTTACATTATATAATCTGTAGTATACACCTGATAAGATATAACGAAGTATATCCAGATACAAATCGTTCAACGTCAAACTATTGTATTCTCTATTGAAGTTCATCACAGGTGAAGGTTGTTCCGATGGACTCCATTCACCGTTCGTCTTATCGACAATCCATCACTTTCGTTTAATGGTTTATGAGCAGTCCTAAAGCATCTGCTTTGGGGTTCCTTCTGCTGTGACTTACTTTAGGTTGGCTCCCTAAAGACGCTAAGCCGGCTTAACGAAGTTTCATGACAAGAAGCGTCCCGAGTGTCACTCGCCCGTATTCGTTCTTCCACAAAAGTCTTGACCCTAAACTTTCTGAATGCCCCGCCGTTGTTTTCTAGCCTAAAACAAATAAACGTTCGCGTGAAACCCTGTCCGTTTTTAATGGCTTGTATCTCGTTTCAAATGCGGAATCCGCATATTTCCCGTATAGATGTTATTCTCCACTGTGCAGCATCTATTGTATAGGCTTAACTGTTTCCTCTATTTCGCCCATTTTTGAATGACAGTAAACAGGACATCCTAGAAGCGGGTTCGTTGGTATCCTCCCATTCATGCTCAAGTACTATAATTTTATCGAAAACTTGTTTCTAGTACAAGGGAAGGTCTCTTTAAAATAAATAGATTTTGTGCAGATGCATCTAGTGCCGATCGATCTGTATTTTTCTATTCTTTAAAAAGTTATTTATGCTGTTTGATTTCAGACCCAGGAAGCCGTCCAAGAGGCTAAGGCATTGCTCGATTACTCCATAGAAGTGGTTCCTGTTCCGCGAACTTACGTGGGCCCGATTTTGGGATCCGGTCAAAGACACATACAGCATATAGTGGATCGCATAGGTCTTTCGGGGATGAGAATTTCTGGTGCATTAGCACCCGATGTGCCTGATTTTGTTGCATTCCACCTCACAGGCACTCGTCGGGCTATCGCGGATGCAAAAATGTTTCTGGAGTTTCATATTGCCAGTCTCCGTGAGTTGGATGAATTACGGGGAGTCAAAAGCCCACCATTAGCCCCACCCACAACAGAAGTTGCACGAGACGGCGATGCAGGCTCCGAACAAGAGCAGTAAGTATTTACGAAGCTGTAGATTACTTGATTGTTTTTTCTATTTTATCAACTCTAACAGTACAGATACTGGTGAATTCGTGGTTTGCATGTTTGTACACAATACCAAATAGATCGTACTCGGAACCTCAATGGAATCTAAAGAGGCTAGCAGAAAATTGGACTAGTTTTGCTACTTGAGTAAGTGCATCCTATCTGGCCGACAAATTTCAAACAAAGTGTCTCCACACACAAGGTTCTTAACTTTCACCGACATGAAGAATCAGTGATATGGTTTTTAGCCCCTTTTGTCCCGACTTTTGAGTATCTACAATCGCAGTTTGTATGAAGACAACACTCTACGGCAATAAAGTACCAATGTTAGGATAACTTTATAACACTACGAGTTTGGCTGGACAATGAAACGGGGAATATCAGTTCACTTCATTGCAGTTTGTACGATTGTTCTTCCATGCACTGTTTGTGCTGCCTATATGCTCTAGCAACGCGAATGCTGAATGAGATTGGATCCCGGCTCCGCACGGGTTTTGTTCGAGGGTGCACAATCAGGTGCGAAGCTTCAGGGTAGCTGGGATGTGCTGGGGTTTAGTGACCACGCTTATGGTTTTAACGCCCTTCGAGAAGATGGTGCCGACCCAAGAATCCAAACCTGTTATTGCGTTGCGTTGAGGAACCGCACAACAATAGCGGTGAACAATTTAAGAGTGACATGTTGCAAAGCTGCCGGCAAACCTGCCGAAAGGTTAGTATTTATAATCAAAACCTATCACGTATCCGAGCATCACCGCTGATCGTCACGCATCACATGTTGCTAAGATAAATTTACTTAGTCACTGGTAATTATCGAAGTGTTCGTCCTCATATCCGATTACGTTTAGCTGCTCTATCCGCTATGTTTTTTGTCTGACTGAATTTTGCTTGAACGCGTGAGTCCAAGATTGTTGTTCGCTTACGCCAGTGCTTTCTATTTTCGCCGTCGATTAGATAATCTAAGATGCACTAAATAGGCGTTAGGTTCAAACAAGCCCTTACACGTAAGGTGCAGATTTGGGATTTTCGTACCATACGATCTTCCTTCGCGAGGCCCCTTACAAGTGGTTATCACCGGCATCAGTGTTCTTGCAAACAACATCGGAATGCAGCCGAGCTTATGAAAATGAGCAAGCTGTTTTTGACTGCGCCAAATCTAGCAGTAAAATATCTTTGTTCGGCGATATCAAACAACCAGGCAAAGAGGAAAATAAATTTACTTTTAAACTGTATCGATAGACTATTCCTACGATTTCGAAAGCGATTGCGCACACGGAGTGAAAGAAGCCATGGTAAAAACTACGAGTGTATCAAAGCAGTGCTCACCTGTCGTGATACGTGACCCATGCAGACCGAATATATCCGCAGATTGAAGGTTTGCAGCCGCTACAACCCGCACGTTATCTTCAAGGTTTCAACAAAAAGACCAGATTCCCGGCCGCCTGATCGAACAGTGTTACTTTGAAACAAAATCATTCACGGTTATGTTGTTTGGGGACCAGGAAGTGAACTTCCGAAAAAATTTCACCCGTCTCACGCGCTATCGGTTTGGACACCAAACAAAAATATGACTCACCATTCCGATGACCGAAATGGAGAACTTGAATCTGCATTCTGTCTGCGGCTGGCACCAATGGAACCATGACTGAATATCCATTTGTGCTGGTTTGGCTGCAGACCGCTGCTGTCTAAGATTCCCTTTGACCGACTGATGCTCAAACAGGAGACATTCCCATAGAAGTGGAAAACGATAAATAATGCAGGTGAACTAGATTTATGTAGAAATTAAGTTTGCGCGCATGTCACTGTTTACAGCACTGATCTATATCTCATTGCCTAACCATTGATTGGGCTGCTTACGAGGCGGACACCCGGCATACCTATGCCGATCGCCATATCTGTGTTTGTGTAATGCATACCTCCGGATAAACATGCTAGTGTTTGTTTGAACAGTTACTGTCTAGAAGCAGGTAATGAATGATTATCTTTTTCCTTTTTGTGACCATGACTTCCTTTGTCGATTATGCATATTTCAGCGTTTTGGGTTAATGCAGCTCGTATTTTAGGTTAGGACCCAATCAATGGGGGATTACTTTTTAGAGGCTCAGGTGGGTATGGCTCACGATAGAAGACAGTGGCGCAAATTTCGTTCGTGTGCTGCAATCTTGTCTCATAAGGAGAAACAAAAAGGGGAACATAGAAGATCAATTTCCAGTTTATGTCTATCGATCTGTAACAAATAATCCCCCAAAACTTCAATTTTGTTTATCTTAATCGCCTAATCATGAAGTAACTGTCGTCAATTTCGGAAATCCGTCGTGTGCGTCTTTTGACTAAGCTCTTAAGCAGTACGACACGCTGTGGCATACAGTGAGATTAACTGGTTTATTTCATGCGTGTCTGTGAATGTACAGAAAGTATCCTATTCGTCGTATTTCAGGCTAGAGAGTCTCCGGATACCTGCTTCCCTATTAATTACATGTGCGGCTATTGATATCTGGACCAGATAACAGAGACAATTCTATCAATTGTCTGTCATGTTTCACTGAGAGCAAACAGAACGCAACTTGTTAATTGCAATCATGCCTGTTACATGAACAACTTCCGGCCGCGTGAAGTGGAATGCAGACGAGACTGCTGCTCACCCTTTGCGTTGGTATGGAAATGCTGATGGGGCGCATAGACTGAACCAGGAATAAAAGCACTGATACTGAGAAACGAATATCAGACAGCTAGTCTCTGTTGCAGTGGTGGATGAACGGATATCAAATTCAAATTACAAATTAGGTTTAATGCGATGGCAGTAGGAAAAGGTTTGACTTTGGATCATCACTGCAGATGAAAGACGGTGTTCTTAGTTTGCACAACTTTTTTTAAATTTTTTTTATTACATACATTTGTGTAGTGAACAGCTGACGGGGCGAACCCCATAGGCACGAAGACCTGCTGCTCCGTCATGGAAACCGGTAACCTAAGCCCCGGGACTTGGAGTGGCTAACCACATAAGGCCCCGATAGTCTTCCATCAGTTCAAAAGCTGTAGGGATTGTTTTTGAATAATTTATGTTTAGTTTTGGCTGGCTGATTCGGCGATCTTCGATTATTAACAAATTGTGCTTCCATTTGGGGTTTCAGTTTCAGTTTGAACAACCATTAACCATGCACTTTCGTGCGCCGGTTTTGGTTGCTGTCTTTTGGCTGCCCATTGGGATGAAGAATAGGAGAA